CTAAATCCTGTAACTTCTGACTAGGAACAGTTGCTCAGTTACTCTCTAAAAAGTTTTCCCACTTACAGGTTTTATGTCAATAGGAATGACTTCCTGTAAGTTCTACCTGAATCCTGTATACCGGACTGCTATTGGAACAGACTAAAGTATTGTACCTGAATATTATTTAAACTGCAACTTGATTCTTTTGAGAATCGAGTTCGGAAAACTTTTGGTAACGATACTGCTCAACACTAATTTTTGTTATTCTTCAGTTCTGGGGAGTGGCAGCAGGAAAAATCAAAAAAGTTTATTTTCCTATATGTTTTCTTGGACCACCCTAATATGTATGTATATATCTCCAAAGACAAGGTGTATTTATACAAGGTGGTCTTGAAAGATCAGCTCAAGGCGAATTTATGCAAGGTGGTGTTACGGTACGTCTAGAAATCAAACCCTATATAAGTACATATGTATAAAAAAAATAAATGCAATCACATATTTTATAGCAGTTTAACAAGGGAAAACGGCAATGGGAATAGTTGCGAATATTTGCGTCTCTTGCAAGGTGTCAATCATTACAATTAAATCGGTAATCGTCGGAATAGTTTTCGATTTAACATGCCATCTCTAATGACAGCTCCGATTATAAACAACTCGACATTTTGTTCAAGAATCAGCTGTGGCTGTAATTAGTTACGCTGGTGTCCATTGTCCGCATACAAGTTTCATTTACATAAATATAAAGTAAATTGGAATTGTTAAAATTCAATTCTTGTTGAGCATGAATGACGTAAAACGTTTAAAAGACCAGCAACGCGATAAACATCCCGGTTTCGACTCATACCTCAATTGCATGACACGGGCTCTATTCACCGGTCTGGCGTCATTTTGTTTAAGTAAGTAAAACTGCGCCCAATTGCATAATTTAGATCTAGCCCTAATATACGTATTTCTCATTCGCTAATTTAGCATTTTCTGGCTGTTATTTTTCACAAAAACTGCTGCGTACGAAAATTCACTACCCCCTCCAATACAGCGTTTTACTCTCGGCTATAGTGGCCACTGGTGTGTCTTATACCACAACCACGACGCGCACTAAAGCCTGCCAAGCAGCTTGGATGGCAGCCGAAGATAAACATACTGTACTAAAAGAGGATAAATATTAAATAGGAGATTATTACATTAAGCAAACTAATAAATAAATATTTAGTTATAATACCGAAATGTGGCTTAGAAATGTTGCGCAATCTGCATGGCGTGGAAACTTTACTATCTACCAAAGCTCACAAATTGGGGCACTGGGAAGAGAATGCTGCATATTAGGCAATTTTAAGAGCCATCACATGTTAGCG